TTCCTGATTCCCAGGGTGCATTGGACACCAGCTGCTTTTCATTCTTCATAAGGGCAGCTTAAACCATGACTCTGAACCACAAACCACATTAGTTTCTTAGAATAAAAATTATCCCCCAAAGAATGAATTTGCAAAACTTATACAGAGTTCAGTTTGTAGGATGTTCTCATTCAGAGCAATTGAGTAAATTCATTTTAAAAACAAGTGAAACCTCTCCATGAGAGGAAGCAATCCAAAGATAGGAATCTTTGTCTTTAAAGTATAAACAGTGCAGTAAAAACAGAACAAATAGGGATAAAACCACAAGCATATGATTCAGTAGAATGCCCTTCTGTATGGGATTGATGTAATAAACATGAAACACAAACACTGTGAAAAGAGCTGGGGATGGAACTGATAATCTCCAGCTGGAAGATGATGAACTCTGTGCAAGAGGGGAGCATGTGACACAGATACTCTGGAAGAGGTGTCATGGCTGTGATAGAAAGCAAAGCAATGGATGACCCAAACCATGAGCAGTGACCAGCCATATGACTTTGTGCAGTCATGATTCCCAGGAGGTGCAGAAAATGCCTGATACAAAAGGAGTCAGGAAGAGTGTGATATTTGAGAACAAGGGCAGAAGGGCATCCCAGACAGATGGCTTCAGCACACATCTGAGGAAGTCACAGCATACATATGATGCAGTGATGGTTGGGGAGCAGTACTGATTCTTACATAAGAGTAAAGAACACCAGCAGTTACTGTATGCACAGTGACGAGTGGAAGGAACTAACTGAACTGCAGCACACATGGTAGAAATATTCAGAGAAAGGCAGGTTAAGGACAACCTGATAGCAATGCTCAAAATGGGCAAGAATAGAGGACAATAATGATATGTCAGGAAACCAAAATCACTTTTGCATCATATGACCTATTATATTTGTTTGGTACCTGCAAATCTGAGTTGCTGAGCTAAATATAAAATGTTTCTTGTGGTCTTCTGGAAAAGGGAAACATATCTATTACCAAATAGTAGTAGGTAATAAAGTAACAGCATGATTCAGTGAGCGAATCAGGCAATTAATCCAACCTCAGTAAAGGCCAACACATTTTTGGCC